GAGGCACTGGATCCCCTTGAGCTGAGGTTACAGGTGATTGTGAGCCACTGACATGATTCCAGGAACCACATTTAGGTCCTGGGATCAGTAGTTGCTCTTAACTGTGAGAGTTATCTCTCTAGACCCAAAGAAAAATTTAACTATTCATTTTTCTACAATAGGTTTTATATTATCACATTAAAGGTCATAATTTTCTTTAAAGCCACTTGGTTTTAATTTAAGGGGAAAAGGTTAAACAAAGGGGAAAATTTTAAGAATTTTTTTCATATTATCCTTTCTGACCTTGAAATTGGACTTGTAGGAGAGTTGAAGATACTGTACACACCATCAGTGTTTAATACAGAAAAGCATTTCTATTTTCTATAAAGATGGCAGTATCAAGTACCACGTGATAGACTCTGCTTTGTTGCCCTGAGTTAAACTGAAGGTCATTCCTAATTTTAGAGATTAAAATCTGGTGAAGCCAATCTCTGAAAATAGAAAGACGGTCTGGGAACATTTAAAAGCTGGGAAGAGATAAATTTCATGCTTTTCTCCTTGTCAGAATTGCCACTTTGCCACAAGGGTAAATTATATGTACTGATGTCTCCCTTGCTGTCTAACCCACAAAACTCAAATTCTCATATGTGATATTTTACCCTGACCATAAAACCTAGTGTAAAACTGATCTGTACATTTACTCAGCCTATACAACCAAATTTCTAAACAAAGATGTAGACTTATGGTACAATTGTTTTGTGGTAGTTTTTATTTTTTATTTTATTTTACTTTATTTTTGCTCTCAGTGTGTTAACTAGATGGTAACTAAGTAGTGAATCTGGAACTGATTTACTTCCTTCACTATGATTCTTCTTAGTTATCATTATATTAACACAAGACATGAAGACCAACTGAAAATTTTCTTTCTCAATGAGCCTTCCTTATCAACACCAACCAAGTAGCTCTCACCCCCACAATCTCTCCTTCAATTTTTTTATTCAGAGCATTTCACATTGTCATATTCTCTAACATCATTATGGGTCACATCGACTGTCCCCCTGGCTACCATCTTCAACTCTCCCTTCACTTAGGCTTCTTCCTCTTCGGCTTGCTTTTTCACAGTAGCTGCTGTGATGTGCCCGGAAACCTGTGCTTCCTCCTCCAAAGCATCTTCACCCTCCCATTATTGACAAAGCTTATTTCCTCCTTTTTTTCAGTTCCTTTCTCAAATATCACAATCTCAAGGGGTCTTTCCTTGACTGATTCATCTATAAGAGTGGCCTCTTGTCATTTGTTCAATTTTATTTTTACTCTGTCAGCCTCATATCCATGAGAATTCATTGTTATCTCTCTCACTGGCATGCAAACACTACTAGATTTTACCTGTTTTGCTTATCTGGCACTACTATAGTGCTTAGAGCAGTGTTTGGGACAATGCTGACACTCAGTAACCTTTAGTAAATCAACCCCTTACCATTTGTCTCCTCTAGTATTCTCTGAAGATTCATAGAGACCCAAAACCTTTCGTCTTCTATTCCCATAGTATGTCATATGCAACAGGTAATAAATGTATATTGAATGAATTGTCTGTGTGGCTTAAGAAAAAACAAAACAAAAACCTTTCTGTAGCTGCCCTTACTTATGACAGAAATTAGAATTGTCATTTGTATAGCTTCTTCATATACTCTGAGCCCACATAAAGTGTGACTTTTAGTAGGGCCTTGATAAGTAAATGAAGAAACAGTAAACAGGAATCTACTCTATCCATAGTCATCTCTAAGGTCTGCAATGCTGGTTAGTCCAATGTCTTGATGCAGTTAGAAGATAATCTATTTCTTTTGGCTAGCCTGGATCTTAAAGTCTTACTTCCCAGACAAAACCCAAGATGAGTGTGACTTCTAAGAGTCTTACTTTCAGTTATTGCATTTGAATTTGAGATGATTAACCTTAGTTTAAATCCTGTAGCATTGGTTTGTTTCCTTAAAAACTTTTCCTGAAGAGATTCAGTGTGTGTGTGTGTGTGTGTGTGTGTGTGTGTGTGTGTGCTCGCGCGCGCGCATGTGCACACACCCATGCCTTATGTATGTATGTATATTTGTATAATGCTGTTGTAGGACACTAAGCAAGAATTAAATCTACTATTTAGAGGAGGTATAGCCTTAAAACCAAACCATCTTTCTTAATTCTTTTGTGTTTTATATTTGAATGAATGAAAACACTAGAAATGAACCAGGAGCCCTAAAATCATAGCATGTGTCTTACGATTTGCTGAGATATACTTGGTTGTCCCTGACAAGAGTCTTATTTCCTTCTTCTGTGTTGTTCACCAGCTGACATCCTGCCTGGTGCCTGATGGTACACATTTTTAATTCCAGCACTCAGGAGGCTGAGGCAGGCAGATTTGCCAGTTCAAGGCCAGCCTGTTCTATAAAGCAACTTCCAGGACAGTCAGGACTACTCAGAGAAACCAGATCTTGAAAATAAAATCAATAAAAGGCAAAGCCTTAGTAAGCAACTGTTGCTGACAGAAATGCATGAGTGAACAGGGGAAAGGTTCCTAACAACTTCCCTATGTGTGCTCTACCAACCTTGCTAGCTCTGCAGGGCTGTGACTGCATTTCACACCAGCTGTATCTCCGTTTGGTATGACATCCCTATAATCAATAGTTCTTGGTTTACTTCAGGCTTTGCTTCACTAACACTAATTTACATTAATTTTAGATTCCCACCACAAATATGGGACTATGAGGAATTCAAAGATAGATTCAGAAATCGCCTCATCTCTCAAGGAGCTACACCCATTGGGGAGACAAAAGTAGCAACCACTTATAAAGGCTTTGGGAGGGCAAATCTATAGTGTACCAAATGGGACCCTGGAGCTTGGTGTGATCTACTCTCCAGTAGGTGGCCAAACACTGGAACCTAAGTTAGGGTAAAACTGCACAATATTGAATCATCAACCCCAAATTCCTAATGACCAACTGAGTTAAGCCCTTTTCAAGGGCAAAGTTTAGAATTCCACATTCCATCAATTTGAATCATAAAATTACCTACTGGATCATACTAAGGTACCATCACAATGAAGTAGAGGGAAGGTACTTTATTGATAGTCTTCTCACTCATCAAGCAGCCCAAGCCAGTAAGGGTAGAGGGTTCATTAATTCAGATATTCACATAGTTAACCTAGCTTTGCTTCCTGGGTTACTGTCTGGAGTACTGCCATGTACCATCTGAATAGAAACAAGAATGTGCTTTTCATCTCTGTCTGCTTAATACCTCCTCTAACAATTGGCTGGGGCACCTAAAGGATAAGATACCCTGTTTCCCGAAGTGTGATAATTGTATTAGAAATAGCCGTAGTGGGATATAAACTTCCTTGGTTATGTGGTCTTCTTGGAGTGATTGCTTTTCTAACGTAGTTAGAACTTGGGATGTTTAACAGAGTTAAACTTGGGATGGTTGATGACTGTAATTTAGTAATGGGACAATATAAGAGCTCATCACATTAAAACAGAAATACTTGGGAAACCCATCGTTTTTAATAGCTTGCCATCTGCTTGGCTCTTATCAGCAATGGAATTATCCTGCTTAGTACGGATGATATTGGGGGTAAAACCATAGATTATATGACAGGTTTCTGAGCTTTTTACTGTTACTAATTTGCGAGTTTGTAAATGAACATTTCTCAATATAAAAATCAGTTATTTTTCTTCTCTTACCCCAGGCAAGGTTGCTATGGGCACCACATAATATCTGTTCTGGCACTAGCAGATTGAGTTAAAGTCACCAAAGATCTCTCCAAATTAAGAACCACAAACAGAGTTTACCAGCTTTGCCACTATGCTCCCCAGCAGGATGCTTTTTTTGCCTTGCTGGGCCCTGCTAGTTTAATCCCCCCGAAAGAGAAATTTTAGAGGGACAAGGACTAAATCATTTTCTTCTGAGCACAGCATTTTCAAATGTCTGCCCAGGGTCCTAAGCCCTGCCGCTGAGGACAGGAGCTAGAGGTGCCCTCTTTCTGCAGAGCAGGGACTCTGGAGCCCTAGTACCTGGACGTGGGAAGGGAGAAAGGAAACTCCTTCTCACAGGAACCATTCGGGTGCACTAGGCAGGCCCAGATCCTAGAGGAGAAACCAGTATCCAGGCTTGGGAAGGTTTGAGGAGGTAGCAAACGCTGGCTGTTTCCCATGCAGCCAAAGAGTAGGACGCACAGGTCACAGGATAGAACTTAAACTGTTACCCAGCCTGCGCTTTGTCCCTGTTCTGTCTGCAGCCCAGGCACGGAGGTGCACTTGTCTGGTAAAGAAAAAGGTTGGTTTGGAGCAGGAGACAGGAGTTGCTACCGCCCTGGAACTGCAGGCGAAGGGAGCACCGAGACCCAGCGACCCAAGCAGCAGCTCCGGACAGGGAGCTGAAGCCAAGCCAGCTCGCCTCCGTGATGTGGCGTTCCCTAGCCGGCTAAGCTAACCGGATTCCGCTCTGCCCTTTCGCCCGAGGGCAGCGCCCTGGCTTGGGCAGCCCAGCAGCGGTACCGCTCCGGGGCGATCTCCCAGTCACCGCAGCTGCATAGAGCCTGTCTCCATCACAGGGACAAACTTCCTCCCTCCGGGTCTCTGGGCTGGCAGTTGTTAGCTGGCTTCCCCACTAGTCCCTTCGCCGCTCTTACTGGGAGAGCTTTCTCTGCCCCTCTCCAGCCTCCAGTCACCAGCGCTCAGCGGTTCCCACAGAACCTCTCCAACAAAGCCGGGGCCGGGAGGCGACCCAGCGAGGGACTAGGTCTGGCGGCTGGAGCATTGGAGCCCTGGCTAGGCATCCACGCCCCGGCGAGCGCAATGAGAAGAAGCGGCAGGAACCAGGCGAGGAGAGAAAGTGTCCTGCTCCAGGCGCGAAAGCCTCCTGGGCTGATCTCCTCGCCCAGCTGCCCCTGGCCGAGCGCATCCTGCTGTCCCAGTGGGACTGGGCAGGGCGGAAGGGAAAAGCAGTGCGGACTCAGTGGCCTGATGGACCAGCCGCTCCCTTACCTCTGTCCAGAGTAAGCGGCTGGACCACTGTCAATGTCGCCATGTCTGCCGTGGGAGCCGAAGTGACGCTCAGCTTCAGCATCAGCAACCGCTTGTAGTGAGAAAAAGAGGAGGAGATTGGGGGCGGGGGTGGAGAGGGAAGACGGAAAGGAGGGGGAGGTGGGGGAGGCAGGAAGGTGGTGATGGAGGAGAAGAAAGCTCGGGTGGGTTGGTAGCCAAATGGGAGACTCAACTGTTCTGCTGAGGCGAATCTTCAGACGCAGCGCCGAGCAGGGCAGATATCCACGAGCGCCTGCATGGCCAGGCGCTGAGAAAGGAAAGCTCAGCCCTAGAACTTTGCTCCTCCACCCATGAGCTCTGGCTGGGTGTAGCTGGTTAGCTGTCTTTCAACTTTCCACCCAAGCGTAATGGTCAGAATGCACTTGTACACAGAGGACACGAAAACAGAAGAGAGTTGGGGACAGAGGTTTATTTATTTATTTATTCATTTATTTATTTTTAGAGTAAGGAAAATTTCAGCCTATTAATCCCACATCCCTTTAGAAAGAAAACGCCTCTGGCAATGGGAGGTGGTGCTCTATCATTGTAGTTGCTGTTAATTTCTGTTGAAAGCTTTCTTAGAATGTCCACTCCTAACAGTACGAGGTAACTGACAGAAGGTCAGGTTTCCATAGGTAAGTGTTCATTTAGGAGCTGGGTATATTGTTTAGGAAATAATTTGCCTTTACAAGCAACTTCCTTATAATGTTTTAAAATTAGAAAGGGGCTTCTGTCATTGAAAAATATCTAGGACCTTTCCACATTAATCTAGAAGAAGCATGTATTCAGGGGTGTTACTTATTGATTAATTAGCATATGTGACAAGAATTGAAAAAAGAGTATTATATGCCATTTACTACATTCTAGGTTCATTCATTCCCTGTAGCTTCTGGATTAGGGTAGGATAATATTAAAGGGCTTATTTGAGAGTCAGTTGACCAGGATTCAGTTACTGGAGCCTTCAAATACTGACTGTGAACCCTTTAATCCCAACTTTCACTAAATTTCCACCAAGCCTTATCTCCTTATCAAACCATGAGGAAGCATGGGTAAACCTCCTCTGGGAATAATGGGAACAGCACCTGGGTGACAATGCTTTCTCTTCATCCCTATGACAGTTAAATAATTCTGGTGACTACCAAGACACTCCTAGAGGGTGATGGGTTACAAAAAAGTATTTGCTTATAATCGATGTGATGTTCTTCTAATTAAATAAAGAGAAAGCAGTAGACTTGATTGAAATAGTGGAAGATGATTGGCTATCTATCCATTCACCAAGTCCTTAGTGACACACAGAGGGTGTGATTTGAGGAAGAAATTTGATCATGAAATTCAACTCTTAATCACGCATATTATCTGCCAAACTCACAGGCTCTTGTAATCCCCAGTCTCCTTACCTGCCAAACAAGGGGACCAATTACACTGACCTGGTAATCAGAGGAAACTGAGTCTATTCTGCAATTGATGAGCTGTTGATGGGCCTGTCAAAAGGGATGTGCTCCCAAATTATAAGCATGCTAGTAACATCATATGGACTGAGCATGTTATATTTATGTTTTTAGGGATATATATATATGAGTGTGTGTGTATGTGTGTAAAATAACAACTAGAGAAATAGAGTCCATGAATTTGAGGTGGGAGGAGACAGTACATGGGGAAGAGGAAAGGGAGGAAACGGGGAAATTATGTAATTATACTTTAATTAAAAATTGAGGAGACTTTACAAAGGAATATACTTTGTGGTACTGCAGAGATGGCACAGAAGTTAAGAGCCTACACTGCTCTTGCAGAACTCTCAAGTTCAGTTCCCAGGACAGACTTCACATGGCTCACAGTTCCCTCAAACTCCAGCTTCATGGGTCTCTGACACCTCTGGCCTCCTCAGGGATCTACATTCTTATGAACAGTCCCACACAGACAAATAACTAAATTAAAATAAATCTTAAACCATGAATGTACTTGGAGAATAGTAGGTTATAAATTTATTAGTAAAAATTACTAATTATTACTGATATTTACTAGTACATGATTAGTTGTTTATTAGTTTAAGACCTATGCTAAGGACTGGTCGGTCATAGAAAGGCTGACAAGATTGAGCCATCTTTCTTACTACTTAGTCCTGGCTACTTGACAGTGAGCAAAGCATGGAATTCTGTGCAGGAAGTGCCTTAAGCAATATAGAAAGAAAGCATTGTGGGAGGCAGAGAAGCAACCAGCAACTCTAAGTGGTTATCGGTATACACAGGTCCTAAAGGACGTAACCAGAAGAAGAAATCCAGCTGTGTGTCTTGAGAACAGAATGTGTTTCAGGGGTTTGCACAAAATATCAAACTCATTCAATAGCTGAGGATGGAAAAATACCAATCCCTGGCCATTAATGTAAATCTTTAAACAAAAATCTTGATTAGAAATGTGCACATCAGCTTCTTGATTCACCTCTCCAAAAGTCTTAATTGTATCCATTTGAACATAAACTTCAGATTTTGAGGTTCTTTGAATTTATGTTTCCTAATGGTTCTCCAGGACCAAAATTTTATAGCATGTTTCTTAACTTATGTTTTGAGTTCCTTAATTGAAAATTTGCTCTACCCTTTTTCTTTTTATGTTGTCTCCTTTTTTTTTTTCAAGAACTAAGAGAGGAAGTGTCATTAACCAGCTATCCATCAGTTATTATTCCTACTGTTGGTAATTTTGGTATCCTTAGGTTATGTCTAAACACTTGTAGAAAATTATTAATATGTCATCATGCACAATCAGTTGTTTTCATTAAATTAACTTGTGAACTAGAATTTCTATCATCTTTCAGAGACACCGGGGACGTAGGAAAATGTCCTGAATTTTCTTCTTGTGCATGGATATATGTGCCCATGCACAGATCTCATGCACAATAGTCTGATCACCACAGTTCCAAACTTTGTTTCATCAATGTCTCTGTGCTTGACCTATTCATATGCTGTTCTTTTTCTGTTTGTATCAGAGTTGTTGAGATATATGTAATTACATTTCACTCATAGCCTTTGGTTACCCAGTCACTCTATTATTTCCTTAGAAGACATATAGTAGTTTAATTCACTGGCAACTGAATTTTCAATATTATTAACTTAATTTAATAAATAATTTATTAAGTAGCTTTTGTGGTCAAGGATTGACCCTATGATTTTCTCCTAGTCTTTCTAGCCCTGATAAGTAGATATTTTAATTCAATTTGGTAGATAAGCAAACTAATGCTCAGAGAAGTTAAACTACTTGTTGTAATAAAAACAAAAACAAAAACAAAAAAAAGCAAAAACAAAAAATCAAAAAAAACCGGCACCAGAGAAAAAGTTGCCATGAGACAGTTGAAGTGGAGAGAATTTTAATTAAGGAAAAGGGATCATAAAAGCAGGAAAGAGGAGGGGGGAGACCTGCCTCTGGGGACAGGAGCATTGGGAAAGAGGAAAGAGAGGCAGAATGGGGGGAGGCAACAGACAGAGAGAGGAGAGAGAGGGATGAGAGGTGGGCAGGACCCTTTTAGAGGGGAACATAGTAAACAGGCACAGGTGGTGCTCTTAGTGACAGCAGCTGAGAATATATCCCCTCAGAACTCTAAGGCAGGCCAGTGCAGATGCCTAAATATTAACACTACTTAGTAACAGCACCTAGACACAGGAGCTGCTATGTTTTCAGGGAAGAAAATACAACACTACCTTATGAATATTTAGTGTTTCAGACATTTATTTCAATTGCAGGTGTTAAGTCTCATTCATATTCTCTCCCCCTACCTCCAGCCATTCTCCACTTACTTGAGACACAGTCAGAGAAGGAATGTATGGAGGCAAGCATTCTGTTTCCAATGTAAACCAATGCAGCTAATAATAAAACAACTGTCTGCTTTGAAATATAAAATCTGTTCTTGCTAGAAATTTCATTCAAAGCTAGTTAAATCTTCTTTCCTTAATTGAATCTTTTTAAATTACATGGCAGAATCAAGAAAAGGTTTGCAAAAGGCATTAGCATACCAAGAAAATATGTTTAGCTAAGTTTTCAATGGAATGTAATAAGCACAGCTTCACATGAGAAAAATAGCACCCTCTAACTGAAACTCTATCTCACCATGTGTTAAACATTAGTTTTGACTAATTCAAGGTATCATGATAGCTTTCCTAACTCACAGGGCTTTGTCAAAATGCCACTAAATTAAGATGGAGAATCAACCTATACTTCAGCATGAAATGTTTTAACTCATCATTAGGAAAAAATCTGATTGTACTTACTGTCTTCTTAATTTGTTTTAGTAACAACTTGTCTATTGCTTCAACAGATTCTTTGTATACTTGCTATTTGCCAGACACTGTTCTAGGCACTTGAGATAATGAAATATAAGAAAGAATAAATCCTATTTTCACTTACTTTCTGCATTACAGAGGAGAAACAAGAAAGAGTAATTAGCAAGTCAGTACTATGTAGAAAAATGTTGGCAATTAAATTAGTTCAAGAAAAATTTCAGATTCATTAAAGGTAGATGTACAAAATGTAGCATCTTAGAGAATAATTGAGCCAAGCCAGGATGGCAGATAGACATACCTAGCTAAAATAAAGTGTTTGTTGTAGACTACCATAAAATAACAAGCCATTGAGAGTCAAAAGGTAGAAAATAAGATAATTACTAGAAAGGTAATGAACCTTTCATTTCATGCCTCTTACAAAAAAACGATAATGACCACTAAGGGAAAAATTATTTGGTAGCATCTACAATAAAACTTGCTAACATCAGAATGAAGAGTTACTAATTCCAAGTTGGATATCAGAAAATTAAAGATGAAATGAAAATATTAAGAGTCAATTCTCATTATTTTTAATTTACCTCGAACTAATAAAAAATACATTGTGAAGGGAGGAGAGCTGAAATCTGAATAATTATTCTTTAGTTGTAGAATCCCTTTTGTGTTTTCTCACATCATTAATTATCATGGAACTCATAAATGTTATATTTTTACTCTGCTTCTGTGTGTGAATAGCATGATTCATAAATATGAAGCCTTTTTATGAATGTTTTATTTATGT